CCCCCGAAGTTGGGCGTTGGCTGCGGCGGGTCCTCCCGCCTTTGCCCAAGCGATTGCTTCGAGCGGCCGAGGGAGTAGAAAACTCCAGCAGGACAAAGCATCGAGAGGCGTGTGCCAGTGTGTTCTAGCGTAATAAGGAATAAATGAGGCATACAACTTGAAATTTAGTTTCCAGAAGCACCTGCAACACCTCCAGAACTTAAAACGACCCAGCACGTGAAATCTTCGGTGTGTTTGTCATCTCGCAAGGACTTTTGGAGAGGCGCGGGTGGCCGTTTTTTGGAATGGGAGTAGGAAAGCGTCTCTCATAAAATTCTCTTGACACTAGTGCAGCAGTAAATTAATTTCAGACCTCTTAAGAGGCGCTGGGCTGCTGCTGCTCCGGGACCTCATTCATGAATTAGGCTTCCCTGCACAGAGAGCTGCCTGCTTGCCGGCATTGCTTCTTGGAAGCGTTGGTTCTTTTGTGGGAAGGTGTGTATGTGCTGGGGAGGTATATAGATTTATCTCTGAATATACTGTGGTGCTATGCAACACCAATTAAAATAATTCACGGTGATTTTTTTTTTGTCAGATCCAACTGTTCTTGTCAACTTGACACTTTTGCTTAAACAAATCAAAAACCTGGCAAAACCAAATCCTCTTAATTCCAACCTCGGTACTTCTGGTTCTGATGCTTAGCTGTAATTTACGATCCCTATTACAATGAAGAAGATAACAGGTACTTAAGAGATCAGTGTGCATTTGATCTAGGCCTTTTTGTGACTTTGGTAGTAACGTGCCCTTGGAAAGGGCATTTCTGTGCCTTGTGGCTCTTCTGTACACGTCTGGAAGAAACCTGGTGGTGGGCAGAGAACAGGTCCAGGGGTCAGCCATAGAAATGCTGCTTTTGTGAAGAGACAGAACCTTTTCAGGTACCTCTCTGGTTTTGTTTATAGCACACTTGCATATAAACACTAGTGTTTCTAGTCAGAGCTAGAGTAGTTCACTTAAATTTTAGGAGCAGCGCTGCTGTTTTGCAGAGTGTGAATTGGTTGTATTTGTTTTCCAACATAGTGGGAGGTATGCTTTGAGCTGTAAGTTGACACTAACTTTTGAATACTAACAACTAATACTCCTCCTAAATAAATCCTTCTCAGCTTCTGAAGGGTTCTTGCCATGAGGTTTTTGTGTGAGTTTCTCTCTCGGCAGTTATTGCTCAGGTGAAACTGGGTTGCTCGCAGTCCTCCTGTGTATCTGGAGGTGGATTTTAAATCATGTGGTGGATTTTAAAATGCATTTCAGTGTAATGTCTCAGGTTCATACAGAGATAATTCAACAGATGGTCCTATTTAATATCTTGTTGCTCAGTTACTGTTAGCTATAGTATGAAAGTCCGTTTCTATAAAACACTATGCCTTTCTAATGATTGAGGATTTAGAAGACAGATTAAAAAAAGCATTAGTTTGAGTTTAGAGACTTTACTGCATGGGACCTTACTAGTAAACTGCAAACTTACTCCACTAGTGGAAATGATGCAGTTCACTTGTGCCTGAAACTGTGAGTATTAATCTCATTGGAGAGATCATTTCAACAAAACCTCAGTTGCGGGCTTCGTAGTCTCACAGGCAAGGGCTGCACAAAGTGGTGTAATGCCATCTGACCTTGGTCCTTGGAGTCAGATTCTTGATCTGCCCATCTAATAGCTTGATAAGACTTTTTTGAAAATAACCTTTTCCTTTAGCCAGCTCCATTCATGTGGTTTTTTTTACCAGACTGCAGCATGATAACAGCTGTCAGCTGTTAACTCTAAGAAACTCTATTTCTTTGTGTTGTGGAAAAAGAAAAATCATAACCGAGAAGGGCTTCTAGTAAGTCTGTTGAATAAAAATTAGAGAAAAAAAATATCTTAAAACTATAGTGCATACCTTGTGTACATTCCTTGATATCCTAGGGAACTAAAATCACATGAACGAGAGAGGATATGTAGCACAGAAGTCATTCAATGCTGGTAAAATCAGTGCTCTGCTTTCATTAGATGCACCCACCGTAGCACTGGATCCTCCTTGGTGTGCACGTGTGCAAGCTGCTCTGGGCTGAGGAAGGGAACGATAATGCCAGAAGTCCCTGGGGGGGATGGATTGCCCATAGCTGTTTTCTGTGGAGGCTTGATATTGACAGAATTCGGATTTTACATGAAGAAAGGCAGTGAACGTAGAGCCAGGGTCTTGAGGAGTGTCGGATGTGTATCATCACTTGTTGTGGTTTAGCTGAAACCAGGACGTCACTCTCAACACCAAGGAGTGCCAGAAGAAGACAAAGTGAATAGGACGACTGCACTGGAAAGAAAATCGTATGATTTCTGGGCTAGATGTTGACATTCTGTACTTCACATGCTTTATTATGGTTAGATAATATTTTGTATGTTTGCTCTTTCCTCCTGTTGAAATGGTGACTGTATAGGAATGATGTAACTAGGTACACAGGTTGTGATTGTGAGTAGGAGATGGGGGGCGAGAGGTATTTGTGCCCTGATTTCCAAGTACTTTCTCCAATCTACTAGTGTCACTTTTGATTTTTACAGCTGATGAGTTCAATCAAGATAAAGTGCTTTTGGAGATGCTGGGTTTCTTCTCGATCTTCTCATTCAGTGGCAGTGTGCTGTAGCTCCCAGTAGCTGATTCTTTAGATAAGATCGCTAATTTTACTCTTGTGTTGATTTCCAATGAAAGTGATCCAAATGCAGCCTTCAAATTCACTTGTCTACCGCTGAGTAAATTCCTGTGTCCTGTTTTGACTCCGGAAAATCAGTCTCTCCTCAATCATGAAATGCCTATGCAGTTTTGCCACTGTGCTTAAGTTTGTTTCGTGCCTGTGATCTTTTCATAGTTCTATATGGAAAGGGAGGTCTTAGTCCGTACCCTTCTTAACACAGTCCTTATTGGGTTAAGTTTTGACCTTCTTCCTTCACTACCTCTTCTGTGCCCTAACAGACCCCATAACAGCTAGGGGAAGCTGTCAGCAATATGGGGAGACCTGGGCACATCAAGAACCAAATGGGGCCTGTTCCTCAGCCCATTCCCAGGCCTACCACCAGAAGGATGCAGTTCCATCAACTAATTGCCCTAGCGCGAAATATGACAGGACACACTATCTGTGGCCTCCGCTAATGGCAGAGGCTACAGGGAAACCCATCCTTTGCTGTGGCTGCTACGCTGAAGGACGGTCCTCAGGTAGGTGAGTCGTAGCCGTTGACCTGTAAGTTAGGTGAGTCTCTGAAGCGTTTTTGAAACTTAACACATCTGTTTGCGCTGTAGTCACAAAAGCTGGAGGTGGGGAAAAGTTTGTGATGGGGTAGCTTAGAATGTATTCCTGCCATCACTATGTCGCCTGTCTTACGTGGACGTTTATGTCTGGACACTTAGAGCTTCCAGATGACGAGCACTAGCAGTTGGTTTAAACAGTTTAGCTTCCGGAAAGCTGTTGAAACTTGACATTATTAATAAACACTGAGATTCTTCTGTTTGTTCTAGTCCTTTCGTCAGAAGACAGAGCTCTATCTGGGAGCTTGTGACAACGGACAGCTGTAAAGCTGTGCTTGCTTACCTGGGAGCCTGAGTTGAAATAATAGATGGGTTTTTGATAGGAGAAGCTGTGGGGAAGGCTATGAAACTGAATCTTGATGGAATTGTTCTCAGAAGATATTTTGAGAACTATCCTGTTTTAGACTATAATCTGTATCTTGCTAACTATCTTAAAGTTTAGTCAAAACATCACTAAGTTGCTCTTTTTGAAGAAAGCTGCAAGACCTTCCCACCTGGGTTTAGTTTTCCTTCTTCATCCCTTTCTTTTTTTCCTTTCCAGTCTTGGAAAGGTGAATAAAGTCTCACATTTTCCCAAGAAGAGGTTTGAATCAGGGTTTTTAAATTTCAGCTTGTGTTTCTTGTAAGCATGTCAGCCATACCAGATGGAGATGATGCATGTGGACTTGAATACAAATACTGTATTTTTCTTTCTCATAGTTACAGAAGCACTGAAGTAGCAAGTAGGCCAATTCATTTTAAGTGTAATAGTTCTGCTTTTCTGTTTGTGGAAGTGGTGCCCCATCATCAAGGCTTAGTTTAGTTGGCAACAGACAGTCAAATCCTCCTTTGTGTTGCTCCTTTCTTGCATGGGGGAGATGATAGTGTAAAAATATTACTGGCAATGTGGAGAGTGAGTTAATGCCTCTGACCTTCTATAGCAATTTTCCATTATAAGAGTGGTATTAGAAAGGAGATGTAACTTCTTTTTCAAGGGACTTATATGCAGGTTTTCTACCTTTTATATGCAGGTTTTCTACCTTTTATATGCAGGTTTTCTACCTTTTATATGCAGGTTTTCTACCTTTTATATGCAGGTTTTCTACCTTTAGTTTCCACCGTATGATATGTAATGATTCATGAAGGCACCTCTAAGCACTGCAGCAAGCCCAGTAACAAGGAGGAAAAAGACTAAAGGGTTTGACTTGCTTAGATAAGAAATATTAAACTTAGCATGTCTGCTGTGTCTTTATTTCTTCTAAGGGTACTGTTGTTATTACCTGTGCTGGGTTAAGTATTCTTGAGCCCAGATGTAACCATTTTCCATTAATAATACTAACATGATGGCTGGCTGGGGCCTCTAAGAAATCTCAGGTCTTGGTAGTGAGAGAATCCATTATTTTCCCATGTTTTCTTGCAAAGATGGGAAAACAATTCTTGTTTTCCCATATTTGTGTACATAAACATGAAATATATATACGTCTTTGTATATATAATATATACATTTTTAATATGTAGGTACATTGAACACAATTCCTTGAAAGCAGCAAGTTGCATTTTATATTTTAAATGGAAGGCTTTTGTGATGTGATCACTAAATAAAAGGCCTTCTGAAGTGTAATTGCTTGTTTCACTGCCCGTTGAGGTTGTGTATTAACTGGAAAACATGCAAAAACCCAGTAGCAATGCAGTCTTGACAGCTAGTTTTGCTGGTTTAATTTGCAGGTCTTGGAGAATGCAGTCTCTAAGCTAGATTATATTTGAAGGCACTGGCACGTCATACCGTACATGGTTTAATAAATAATCTGACCAAACTGGTGCATTCTGATAGAAAAATGTTCATAATTTCTGCATCTTGTGTTTGTTTTTAAAAAAAAAAAGTTAGTGCTGCGGGTAAAGGGCACCACCTCCACGCATTCAGTAGGGCTGACAGCTGGGGCAAGATCTTTTTGCAGGAATTTGCAAGCTTTTAGCCATTGTTGGGTGAAATCTTGCTTTGGTGTCAGAAGAAACATCTCTGGATTATGATCTGGTGTTAAGTTTATGAACTCTTCAGTTTGCTGGAATAGCTTAGGGAGTGTTAGAGCCTAGATGCCTCTACTTCCACAACTTTAAAAAGAAAAGTTAATTCATAGGACTGCAAATTTCATCAAAGACAAACATTTCACTGAGGTTTTTAGACACTCCAACCATGATCTCCTATGAAAAAGATTCTTTTTGCTGCATGAGTCAGATGCTTCTTGCTGATACAAACAAACCAGTTCATCTGCTGTGGTGGTTTAGATACCACTCATGTTTTAGTACCTCTTTTTGGTAGAACTTAATCTGTGTTAACGCAACAAAGCATGATTCGATCCTTCTGGAATTACTGGTCTTGTTTAAAGAGTGATTTCACAGTGGAAGTGTGAGGTTTCTTGGGAGGATACCCAGCCTGCTGAGCGGGGAGAAGAAGGAACTGGTGTGCTTTGGCAGGTATGACGGCACCTGGTGGGAACGGTTCTTTCTGCCCCTCTCCTCTACAGGCCCAACGTACACAGGTGAACTCTGAGCTGTGTGTGGAGAAAGATCATCTACCTCTCCCTTCCCGTGACCTAAGTCAAGAAATTGTTTTTTAACTCTAGTGTTTGATTGCTATTCTAGGAAAAGGTCTTCTGGCAGACTTCTGGCAAGTGTCTAATTCACTTCACTTCAAGCTTGAAGTGCCCTGTCAAGCTGGTAAAATGACAAACTCTTACCAGCCTGCCTGCGTGCAGTCCCTTTGTGTTCTTAGACCATCACAGCGTACACCAGGACTATTGCTAATCTCACTGCTGAGTCAAAAATACTCAGTGATGAAAGGAATATTGTGTTTCAGGTGGAAACATGTAGTGCTTCTCTCTTTGCTTCTGAAACTGCTTTTTTCCTTCCAAAATCATCAAGCCCTCTCATGAAGGCAGAGTGCAGAAGCAAGAGTGCTACACAGACTCTGCTGATCATTTTCTTTAAAATCTACAGGTGGACCTGTTTTCAAATGGTGGTCATCTATGTAATGCCAAGTATTTTATTACCTGTGATAAAGTAAACTATTATAAAAGGCCTTGAACCCTAAGTGTTAGTTAACGCTAATATTAAATCTTGGTCATTTACTTGATACCATTTTGCTGGGGGGAGGGGGAAGGGAGCAAGGAATGGAAGGTTTGTTTTTCTTTTTTTCTTTTCTAGTTGCTCTGACACTATTTTTCTTCAGCCTTGGTGAAGAGAGGGAGAAATCACAAGCTGCATTCAGCCCATTAGCTGTCATGTGCTTCTGTATCTGGAATACTTGATGCATAAACACACTGTGGCTTTCCCAGGCCTCGCTGTTGAAGAGCAGGATTCTGCCTTCTGCCCTCTTCAGGGAGCTGGGATAGAGCCTGGCCAGGGGAAACTGGATTCTCACTCTGCTGCCAACTTATAGTGGATACGTAGATGATGTGACCAGGGATAAGGCTGGTTGATCAAGTGAACCCTGCAGTTACTCTTGAGTAACAGGTAGAGGTGGGAGTTTCACTCCTTTTATCCCTAGACGGGATTCTCACTTATTATGAAATTTAGCTAAATTTTTTTTAGATTCTCTTTTCTTACATCCTGTCTCAAGAGTATGGATGCCCTGTATGCTGACAAAGTGCGTGGGAAGGTCTGGGTGCTGCATGGGGTGCCTTAGTTAAGAGATTTAATACTTCTGAAGTCCTATTGAGAGGTATGCCCCATTCCCCAAGAAACCTTTCAGAAGTGTAGTTAAAAAAAAAACGAAAAACCACACCCCTCCCCCCCAGCCCCCAACCAAATCCCAAAACTCTAAAGCAAAAAATGTGTGAACAAAACCTCGCCTCCAGAATGTACTCTTGGGCAGTAGAAAAATCTCTATTTTCATTGTGCATTCTAGCACTTACTGTGTTGCATTAGTCAATTGGACATTGCATGTCTTTATTGCAATGCTCCTTCGTGTTTAAGCTTTTTTTCAACTGACTTATGACTTATTTGGACTTCCTTTTTTAAGCTACAATAAAACTGCAAATTTGGGCAGCTTGGGGAGGTTGAGTTTTTCATCATGTTATCTCAATACATGCATAGTATCTTATGGAAATGTTAACTATATAGAAAAATTTTCATAAAAGTTTAACTTTGAATAAACTTGGTAGTACTCTTTTTCTGCTTTAAACTCTGTTGGTGAGGCTTATTCTACTTGTGCTAATATAGATGGTACTTTGGGACAGGGCCATGCATGTATTACTGAAGTAATAGGAGGTTTTGCTCTTGTGGTTTGGTTTTCTTCCATATTCTGAAATTTTACTTGCTCATATAACTTAAAGCGGATTCTAGTCTGAGTTCTCTGCTTATATGCAGAAACTTTGCCGTATGTTTTTGCAGAGGAGAGCCTGCAAACATTCAGGTGGAATTGGTACAAGACCTAGAGAAATCCGGTCATCTTAGTGTTTACAAAGGCTCTTTCGTTGCTGGTGGATAGTCCAGTGTTGATTGGAAGATTTTAAATAATGACTTATTGCTGTCTTGCTTTTGAACGCTCGTTGTAGCATCCAGATATCCTAAACCACTGGTACCACTTGAGAAGCCGGCGAAGGAGGTAGTATCACCAGAGACAACCAGTACTTTTGGTACAGTAAAAAAAAAAAAACACAAACAAACAAAAAAGTGTGTTTGCTAAGACGTGGCATTGCATAAGGCCAGCAGGCTGCTGGTTTGACAGATGTTCCACTTGCTTGTTTTGATGCAGTTGGCATGTATTGCTACAAGAAATAAAAGTACACAGTTTTTATTTGTTTATATTAATATAAAGCCTTCAGTCTCAAGAATATCAGTGATACCTCTATCACTTCATGGACTTAATGTGACCGAAGAAGTGTTTCAAGTCCTGATCTTGCAGAAACTCTCCTGAGCTGTACCATAGTTTCTAGATAATACTCAACCAGAGATTTCAGACTCTGAAACAGCTGCATTTACTTGAAGAAGCTCAGTGTCATCTACCTTATGCCTTTTTCTAGGAAAGTGCTGTGCATTAAATTACATGGTCCAAACATAATGCAGAAATAATATTAATGTTAAAAAAATACCATTATTTAGTTAGCTGCCTTTGCCCTTCCCTGCAATTAATGTTTTAGAAAAGGTAAAATAGAAGATCGCTCCAATTAAAATTTGTTTTCTATCTTTTGCATGTGTTTAAGCATGTGATGTGTGCAAAATAGTTGTCATGCATGAACACTTTAAATCATGAGTTTAAAAAAAGAATCTAAACCTTGAGCCATTTTTCTTCAACTGTATGTGTCTTGTGTAAAATAATACATTTTGTAGTCATCAGGAGACAGATTTTCCTTTTAGCTATCTTGCCTGGTATGAGGGGTTCTTTTGATTTAGGTCTTTTTAGGAAAGATCACTTGAAATGCAACTTTTACTTGTAGTGAAACTTAAACTTTTCAGAGTGATAGATTAGAAACGCTTAGATCTCCATGTAATAGGCATGAATGAAATGGATTGTGTTTATTCTGTGAACAGAGGTACTGTTTCAGTGTGTAATCGAAATTAAAAGACTGTGAAGTCAACCAGTTGCTCTAAGAAAGAAATTATTTAAAGCTCACTCAGCTGAAAACGCTTAACTTTAGTCAGCCTTATTTGTTATTTAATCAATCCAAATACAGAACTACAGAGGCAGCTGGTGTCTCCAGCAGAAAATCTTTTCTAAAAAGAAAAAGTAAATGGAAAAATGAGATAAGCATATGATGCAAACAGAGTACTTAAGGAAGCTGTCTTGGATCTCCCTGGTGCTGTTTTTTGGGTTTGTTTTGTTTTGTTTTGTTTTTTCTGGTAAAGAAGTGTCTCAGACTAGGGAAAACTGGACTTGTGTGTGTGAGCTGTCTGGTGCCCCCTTCCCTCTTTCTTTCTCCTTAAATTAGCATGGTGTTATTTCAATGAACATGAAAGCACGTTGCCATTTTGTTGCTGTGTGTGGGAACTTCCTTTAACATTGAACCTGCCTGTTGGAATTTTTGGGATGTTACTAACACATGCCTGAAACGAAACCCTTGCTTCCTCTGAAACATGGGGAGCTTTTTAAGGCAAAGTCCACAAAATACTGTTTTTAACCCAGCAGCGTGCACATTTCATTCAAAACTACAGGATATGAAATCAGCTGTTTTTTCCAGTGTTCATTTACTTTGGATTCTTAGATATTTGTATGGTAATTATTAGTAAAATATCCACCCTAGCAGCCGTAATACATACTGGTACTCGCTACTTGCTATACTTTTTTTGCTGCATCATTTGCTGGTTTCCATTTGTATGTGATGGGCTCATCGTGTTCATTGGTTTTTGGGTATTCTTTGAAGTTTTTTAAATTTAATTTTGACAAACTGACATGCTTTAGCTTTTGGCAAATTCCAACAGGTCACTTTTTTTAACTTACACATTTCTCTCTAGATAATAAAAAGAACAAATAGGAACATATTTAAAGACTACAATGTTATGTGTTTGGAGATGGGGCATATTCTGGCGACTACTGCGTTAAAGCAGACAGAAGGAGCAAGTGGCTTGTTTTATTCTCTCCTACTGTTTGTACCCAGGGATAAAACCTTTCCTCAACACCCTTGGTAAATACTTCATAGCTTTTAGGATGTCAGATAGGAGCATGGGCATTTCCAGAATTAAAACTTGCCTTACTGTTTGGCGGTGATCCTGGTGAAAGGCTCCTGCATGACCTGAGAGAAGGACGAAGCCTTGAAAAATCTTTTTCATTTCAAAAAGAATGGGAAAGTTTGAGAGAAAAAGGCTTTTACAGTGAGGCCAACTTGAACTGAGAGGAGCCAGAGACATGGATGGAGATAGTCTGGGACCTGTTGACTGGACACCAGCAGTTCTTTCAGAACTTCTGGGAAGCCTTCGGGCAGGGTTAGGAGGAGACACGGGACACGGTATGTGATTCTTGTCCGTGCCATGGACAGAGGTCTGTCTGCTTTGGGATGTGCTATGTATGTAAAATTGTATTGCCACAAACCTCTGGTATTTTCTTCAGGTCCAAATGCTTACTATGAACCAACAGGTAATTGTTGCATTTTGACTTGCTGCAGTTTTCTTTTAGACATCATCAGTTTCTGGTTATTGTATTGTTAAAATAACTTTTTTGTTAACAGCTCTCAGTTATTTGCTCTTGATAGCTTTTGGCTCCATGCAGTGATCCATCCCTTACTGCTGGCCAGTTTGCTGTAACTCATCTTACACTAAGAGTGTGAATCATCAGTCTCCATTAGGATATTATCCCATCTTTCATCACAATCTGAATGGGTAGAAATTGTGTTTTATTGGCGTTATTGGGTTTCATGGAAGACTGGAGAGAAATGTGCATGGAACAAACCGATTTTTTTTTTTTTTTTTTTTTAAGCCAGCTGCTCTCTTAAATACCATCAGCTTGTCTTTTCAGATTGCAAATAGCCTTTCAATCCAGCTATTTCTTTGCTTCATTAAGTCCTGGCAATGGGCTGATTTTTACAAAGCACAAGTAAAGATGGGATGTTACAAATGTAAAATTAACTGTTTTGTTCAAGACGAAGAGATGTAAGAATTGCCAGCTGGATCCACAGCCATCTTGCCTAATAAATACAGATTTTTGCCAGAGAGAAGAGATGGGAAAGCAGCTTGAAATCCTGCTCCCTCAACATCAGTTTTCCTATTACCTATTCTATATTGTTTCATGGAGTAAACTAAATAAAGCAAAGTAAATAGGTAGCGGCAAAAGTGGCAATGGTCTTATAATCAGCCTGGTGACCTTTTCCTCTTGAAAATGTCAGACAGACTTCCTGTGATTCTGTGTCACTCTCCCTGAACAGAAGGAACGTAACAAAGGTGTGTGTGTGGTTGTGATATAGCACAAATGGCCTGTGTCGAAGATGACTGGTTCCAGTGGGAAATATATGTGACTTGTTGTTTACTCATTTACTGGATCTGGTTTATCAGAAAGAAAAAAACCTCTTTGGATTTGTGATGTTTTCACTATTGGTTTACTTCTCCAGGTTGGATGATAGGAACCTATCGTATCAGCCTTGTTTCCAGATGCTGCTTATTTCAGTTTTGCAGTTGGAGACTAATATGGCTGAGTTTTACTGTGACTTGCGTCTGACCTTCTGTAAAAGCTCAGTTAACAAAAAAAACCCCCTCACTTTAATTATTCTTTCCCAGCCATGGAGGAAAAACATTCAGATGGCTTCCCCGCTGTGGGATAAGAGCATGCACAGGTGAGCTGTGAATGAGTTGATGCGTAGTAAGTGTGACTTGTCTGTATGGTGCAGATTTACTGTTGGCCTCACCCAGGTTGTGCAAAGGGAGTGTCCCATTCTCATCTGCCCTGCCCTGAAAACCTCTGGGTGTGCAAGTTCTGTTTCTGCTTTCCATGCTAGCACTGCCATTCTTCTCCAGGCCTGGCTGTACACCTGGATAAGCACAAGTGCTAGAATAAAGGAGGGAGTTTAGGAACAGGAAGAAAAGTATCGAATCACCCCTTGCAGCAGCAACATGACTTTAGATCACTTCAGGATGCAGTTTTGTATTTGAACTAAGGTTCTGCCTTTCCTGTTTTCTCATGGGAGGTGCCACGAAGGTTTTTGTGCCTCAGGTGGGAGTTTATTCTGGGATCCCTCTGTGTCACTAACAGCACATTCAGTGACTTGCACTAGTGACCAATACTCTTTTGATCCCCCAGGTTACTTTTTTAGTATTGTCGAGTACTTGCAATTGTATTTGGGAGCATTTTTGACGTCAAAATTAATCTTGTGACTAGGTAGGGAGATGTCTTTCTTCTCCCTTTCTCTATCCGGGATTATTCCTCCTGGGGTCATTGGCTTCCCCCCTGTATCACATGGCGCTTTGCTTCAGCACTGCAAAAGGCATCCTTATCCTGAATCCACCCCCCTCCTTGCTGCTGGAGAAGAGGCTGTGTAAACATTGCCCAGATTTTGGAGAAGGAGCTGAGAATGAGGGAGAGAAGGATGCTGGAGGCACACTGAGGTCAGCCCCCATCGCACAGCATGAAAAAAAACTGCAGGAGCACAAATTTAGTTAAGGTCTCCAGTAAATACTGGCATTGCAGGTATGTCACTGATGCAGGCAATACACTAGTGCCACAGCATGCTTTCCACTGCCAAGGGGAAAAGTATTAAATAGATTAGATTCCATACTTCCTCCCATGTAGAAAACAAAACAGGCTTATATGTGCAGAAAACCTTGGACTCAGCTGTAGGTTTGTGTTTGTAATTTAATAATTCTCAAGCTAATTAGCAGAACTGGAGGTGGAGCATGTAATTTCAGTGCTCACAGGAGTCTGCTGCATGCTCACAGTTGAAACTGTGACAAAGGAACAGGTAAAAAAAACTACCAGTGGAAAAGGGAAAATGTGCAAAGTTCAAAAATGAAGACTGCTAAGTGGCGAAACCCAGTCTTTCATAAACTGGCATTCGGTAGTTTCATGGGAAGATGAAGCAACATTGGGATTAAATAAACAAATCAGATGTGTGGTGCTTCATAGAGCAGAGGTCCTGAAGCAGCTTTAGAGGGAGTGTGCACAGCTGTGACTTGCAGTGGTGTGACGTGGGCTGAAGCTTGTGTTAGCTCTGCA